ACACACACACACACACACACACACACACACACACACACACCCCTACAGTGTGCAGCTTAGCCCTGCCTTGTGCCTCCTCAACCATCTTTTAGTCCCCTTTCAATCTGCCTGAAACTGTAAATTTCAAAAATGGCAGAAGGCAGCCCCCACTGCCCCCCAAAAAAACAAAAAGAATAAGCTCTGGGTCTCGGGTTCTTCTGCAGAGTTAAATTTGGGGTTAGCAAGAGAAAGAGCACCAGGGATTCTGATGCTCTCATCCATGCTGAGTCTTTGGGGGAGCAACCAAAGACAGAGGGAACCAAGGGAAAGAGCATGTGTCCCTTGGAGGGACAGACACTGCTTGAGCTGAACTGATCTAGAAGAGGATTCGAACCCCACTGAAAACACCTAATGTGTAGACACATTTTATGGGATGCAGGGTTAGGAGTAAATACTGGCTGGAAGAGAGTGATGACCAAGAAAGGCCTCTCAGGTAGCTGTACACCAGGATCCCCACACCGTCTTCTTGACACTGTAGGCCTTGTGACATTCCTGTTCACCCCTGGTCTCTTTCAACTATGGCTCTACAAGCCATCATCACATAGTAGATTGTCTTAGTCCATGTGTAGGTCAGAGGATAGTTTGAAGAACTCAATTCTTTCCTTCCACCACGTATGTCCCAGGGACTGAGCCTGGTCATCAGGCTTGGTGGCGAGTGCTTTTATCCCTTGAGCCATCTGACTGACCCTACAGGGCCTCTTCTATAAGGGCACTAATCCCACTCATGAGGGCTCCATCCTCATGATTTAATTACCTCCCAAAGACACTGATTCCTAATATTGTCACCTTGGGGTTTGACAATTTAAGATATGAATTTTAGGGGACACAAACATTGAGATCATAACCTAGGTGCCTATAGCTCTTTGCTAATGAGTGAAGGGAGGTGAGATAGAAGAAAGACTGGACTAAGAAAGGGAGTCTTCTCTTCCTTACCTACAAAGGTGAAGCGCTCCACAGGTGGGCGGACGCAGCAGATCCTGCTGAGGCTCTCTCCCACCTTTCCCAAGATCTTGGCTATGGGAGAGAATGAGAGAGATAGAGGGGAAGAACCTTTCACAACTTACACTCGTGTCAGCCCAGCATTGGGGTCACTGGGGAGGTTGGGGTTGGAGAGTGAAGGCAGGAATGAGGATGGAGAGGAGTGGGAAAGTGACAGCAAAAAGTTCCTTCCTCCCATTCCAAGTCCGTGGCACAGCCATTGTCAGCCACGGACTGCAGTCTGCTTTCTGGTCATGTTTATTGTTGGAAATTGGAAAACAGAGAAAAGGATAATATAGAAAAATGAACATTACCCACCACCCTGTATCTAGAGTAACTGCTATACTATTTATTTTCTTCCATTTTAAATGTGTGTTTAAATTATGCAGGAATGTCTACATAACATATGTTGGATCAGATTGCACATTTAAAGGGCCATTTATGCTGTTGCATTTTCTTTTGTTGTTGTTTGGTTTTCTGGTTGTTAGTTTTGTTTTGCTTTGTTTTTTGAAACAGAGCGGCTCTGTCATCCCAGTTGGCCTGGAACTCACTATGTAGACCAGGCTGGCCTCCATCTCACAGACTGCCTGCCTTTGCCTCCTGAGTGCTGGGACTAAAAGCATGCATCACTATGCCTGGCTCTTTCTTATTTATTTAACATTTTATTTTTTTTAAACTATTTTTATCGCCAGGCGTGGTAGTACACGCCTTTAATCCCAGCACTCTCAAGGCAGAGGCAGGCAGATCTCTGTGAGTTCAAGGCCAGCCTGGTCTACATAGTGAGTTCCAGGACAGCTGGGGCTACAGGGAGACCCTGTCTCAAAAAGACCAAAAAATTTTTAATTTATTTTATTTATGTATGTATGTGCACATATGCACTCATGCCATGGGGTACATGTCAAGGTCACAGGACAACTTATCAGAATTGGTTCTCTCCTTCTATTATGTTGGTCCAGGGAATAAAACTCAGGTTGTTAGGCTAAGTGGCAAGAGCCTTTACTTGCTGAACCATTTTGCTGGCCTGTTTTGTTTTTCTATGCTATGGCTTGAATCTTAAGTGTCTTGCAAAGGCCAGGTGTTGGAAGTTTGGTTGAAGGCTAGCTGGTGACAGTATAGGAGGTGGTGGAAATTTTAGAAGGCAGACTTAAAAAAATATATTTTATTTATTATTTTTATTTTATTTTATGCATATGAGTGTATTGTCTGCATGTATATAAATACACCCATGTCATACAATGCCCACAGACATCGGAAGAGGGGGTTGGATCCTCTGGAACTGGAGCTACTAATGGTTGTCGGCTACCATGTGGGTCCTGGAAGTCTTCTAAGAGCAGTCAGTGCTCTTTAACTGCTGAGCCATCTCTCCAGCCCCCAGAAACTTTTGCTTTGCCCCCGTGTGTAATTACATGCCAACTGTGGAATTTGGGCTCTTTGTAAATTATCTTATTTATTTATTTATTTATTTTGGTCTTTTTGAGACAGGGTCTCCCTATAGCTCCAGCTGTCCTGGAACTCACTATGTAGACCAGGCTGGCCTTGAACTCACAAAGATCCGCCTGCCTCTGCCTCCCAAATGCTGGGATTAAAGGCATGTGCCACCACGCCCAGCCCAAATTACCTTATTTATAAAAGACCTGTGGTCTCTGGGCTAGAAAAGAAGTGAACCTAGATTTTACATTGGTGTTGTTTTGTTCTGATTTGTTTGAGACAGGGTCTCATGTAACCCAAGCTGGATTTGAACTTTGGATTCTTCTGCTTCCATTCCCTGAATTCTGAGATTACAGGTATTTGCCACCATGCCCTGCTACGTCTCATAGAAGTGACTTGGAAGAATCATTTTGAGCGTGGTCCTTGGAGCCTGACAGCACTGGATGTGACTTCTAACTCTTGTACTTTTGAGCAAGCAGTCTTTGGCAAATCACTAACCTGAATCTCAGTTTTCTATTTGTCAAGGCAGAGACAGCATCTACATCACAGAATTACAGTATCCAATGAAAACACAGTAGAAGACTAAGCACTGTGCTGGCCTGGAGAAAAAATTGGTGGCCTTGCTCTCTGTCCATGAGAGCTAGCTGAGAGTCAGGCATTCTGCATGCAGTGTGACTTGTGGCCCTGCTACTTCCTCAGCATGACCCTGGGTGAGACCCTCAGTCTCCCTGGAGGAGGCAGAGAAAAATGCTCCCTTTTGTATATTTAAATGCACTTGAGGCGGTTATATTTGTATTTAAATATATACAAAGATACAGCCTCATCCTTCTCTACCTTCTCCTCCTTTACTTCCTCCCCTCCTGTCTCTTCCTCCTCCCTCTACCTCCTTTCACCCCTCTTCCACCTTCTCGCCTCCTTCCCCTCCCAAGCAAATCCTGATGTGGGCCCTCCAAGTGATTCTGAAGGCTGAGAACTTAGCAGTGTTCACCTACCTGCAGTGGGCTTGGTGGGCACATTGCTGTTCTGGTAAATGGGCTGGGGGGTCTCGTGTTGTGGTTGTCCGATCACAGGCGTCATGGAAGGTGTGCTGACGTTGGAGAGGATACAGCCAGTCACCCTCTGGGGAAAGGGAGAAGCACTGAGTCATTGTCACTGGCCAGGTGATACTCAGAAGCACTTCCCAGTTATCTCCCCAGGGACATCTGCCTGCACAACATGGTGAAGTGGCCTAGAGTTGAGGGAGAGCCTGAGATAGGTTCTAGATCCAGTTGTGCTGTGTGGTCTCTACAGTGGCAGGAGATGAAGCAGCTCAGCAAGAGCAGCACAGGATGTGGGATCACACAGCCCTGGACCCCAGTTTGGGCTCTGCCTCCTTCTAGCTATGTGACCTTATACAGTTACTTTCCTGAACTCAGTTCCAGTCTGACAATATACTTGCTTTTTTTTTTATTTTTTGAAACAGTCTCATGTATCCCAGGCTCAAACCCACTATGCAGCTGAGGATGACCTTGAATTCCTGATCCTCCCATCTCCTGAGTGTTGGCATTATAGGCTTAAGTTATCACACCCAGTTCCTGCCCTTTTAAAAAAAAATTATCATTCCACTGATTGATTGTTGTGGGGGTACGTGTTTTGGGGTGCATGCATGCCACAATACACATGTGGAGGTCAGAAGACATTTGCTGGAGTTAGTTCTCTTTCCACTAAGTGGGTCTCAGGAGTTGAACTCAGGTCATCAGGCTTGATGGCAAGTGCATTTATCCACTGAGCCATCTTGCAGGCCCAGATTCCTTCCATTTTGACTATGGTGGAATGATATGGGCAAACACGTACGAAGTGCCTCTGACAGCTGGTAGAAACTTCTGTGTATTGTTGCTATCTACTCTCCCTGCCTGCTTCATGAGGCTCAAATGAGATCATGTCTGGGAGAGGGCTCTGTGAGCTTGGGAAAGGTCACGCCAACACAAGCATATCACCACCTGCGGACTCTGCGGGCCTGAGACGTCAGTATCTCTGGCCAGCTAAAGAGAAGTGCCAGGTGGAGCAGGATTTGTGTCACAGCAAGTGTGGGGGTGAGTTCCAAGCCCTTAAGGGCCCATTTGTCTCACTTCTGAGCCCTGGGGTGACCTGAAATGCATTATCCATTATCCTGTATTATCAAGCCCACTACTCCCTCCAGTGTCACAGAAAACATCTCACTGAGAATGTAGCCTTCTTCACGGGAGCCAGAAGCAATCCTCCTTTACCCAGGGTCACTGGGCAACAGAAAAACACAGGAGCAAGTACTTATTTAAGGTCCCTTCTCTGAAAGCCAGGATCCCAGGAGTGATAGTGATCAGTCTTGCTGTGAGAGCATCCCCATGGCCTAAGCTGCCAGGGAGACCCTCCAAGCACCTCTTCCACAGACCACTCTGCAGGCAGAATGCCTGTGGATCCTCCCAGCCCTAGAAAGGCAGGCATTTGTTTTACAGGGTAATCCATCCCTTCAGTCACACAGCTGACAGAAAGTAGCCACGGCAACATCCAGTCACTCCTGTGAGGCAGCTGGGGCTGGGTACTGCAGCCTCTTCTCAGCCTGCTTTGAGCGCTCAGCTGCAGCTGATGGAGTGGAAGGGGCAATCTGCCTCTTTTTAAAATTTATTTTATCACCAGGAAAGACAATGCCACATTGTTGCTTAATAGCTGGTCTGTGGCTGAGGAATTTCTTCTTGGTGCATCATTAGTCTTGTTTGATTTGGTCTGTCCAGGAAGAAAATGGTTGGCCAAATGCCCGCCCTGCTCAGCCCTTCCTGGTTTTCTTGTCCTCAGCAGCCTTTCCATATCCAGCCTTGAGTAGCCATCTCCCCGGCAGGACTATCAGCCTCACCTCAGGACTGGGAAGGAGCTCTGAGCTCTGGCTGCAAGACTGCAAGGCTGGGGACCTATATTGTCAGCAGCCTCTGCCCAGAGCTGTAACAACTGGAACTCTCTGAGCTTCTCTGGCTCAGGCTCAGGCTTTGAGTATGAGTAACAGAGTGAGTGTTCAGGAAGCCCAGGCATTTGGACAGCTAAACAATAGCCAGGCTGCACAGTCATTAAAGCCAGGACAGCACTTAGGAATGCCAGCAGGGTCCTTGACTCTCCCTTTTACTATGGAATCCAAGGCCTCTGTATGATAAGAAAGAACACAAGTCCTCAGGTGACATTCCCCTCCCCCACTCAAATAACAAGCTTGAGAAATAAACTGGTGTGAACTCAGTGATAATTTTGTTTGTTATCACAGCACATCTTAGCCTATCCTGACTGACATGTATGCATCTTTAAAAAAAAAGATTTTAATCTAAATTTATTTAGTTAGTTTTTTGAGACAGTTTCACTATATAGCCCTGGCTAGCCTGGAACTCACTATGTAGGCAGGTTACCCTCAAATTCACAGAGATCTGCCTGCCTCTGCCTCCCAAGTACTGGTATTAAAGGCATGGGCCATCACATCTGGCAGATTTATTTATTTTTATTTTATGTATACACATAAATATATAAATGTTTTGCCTGCATGTAAGTGCACCACATGTGTGCAATACCTATAGAAGCTAGAAGAGGGCATTTGATCCCCTGGAACTGGAGTTACAGACAGTTGTTAGCTGCCATATGGGTGCTGGGAGTTAAACCCAGGTCATTTGTATGAGTAGTCAGTGCTCTTAACTGCTGAGCCATCTCTCTAGTCCCAAGATATATAATACTGTTATCAAGACCAGCTCAGAGGAGTAAGTCAGGGTGACCCAGTGTCACAATCCTTTCAAGGGGACTAAAAATGAGTCAGAGTATGTATGAAGGGTTCTGAAAGTGGAGGGAAAGAAGATCTACTCAATTCCACAGAGAAAATAAATTGAGCAGCATTCAGCTGCTTCTCTTGCTCTTGGTTCCCTAGGATGGTCTGGGACCCCAAATCACATCTAGTAAAATAAAGCCCAGCTGTGCAGCTGGTGTGGTCTGGGGTGGGCAGGGTTGCTCCCCAAGAAGAAGAGATGGCAACAGCTCCTCCAACATCAAGGACAGAGATGGGATGATCAGAACAATGCCTTTTTTTGGTTGTTCTTTGAGGCTGGGAACTTTTCACTGCAGAGTCTGAGGATAAGAGCACAAAGCATTATTTGTTGTCTGTCAGCCAGAGGGTCAGGTTTCAGGCCATGGGTGGTGCTGATTTTCATCCTGCCCTGTTGACTCTGCAGGCTGGTATTGATCTGGGAAGGATGCTCTACCCACACTGTGGCTGCTTGCTGCTGGCCTGCAGCCAGCCTTGGGTTCCCACAGGCCCTGAACTCCAGTAGGCTTTTCTCCATCTGTGGTCACTAAGTGTCACTGCATGTCCTCAGGTAAATAAGCTCCTCGCTGTTCTTCCTCTAATAAGCTGGGATCAGATACTATCTCCCTGTGAGGAATGAATGGGAATGAGGGGGAATTGGTCCTCTCTGGAGTGAGGGGCGGGGGGGGGGCATGGGCCCTTATTAGATGGGGAGAGAAAACCTGACCACTTATAACAAGACTAAGTGGACTTTGGTGGTGGTTGTTGTTTTGAGATAAAGTTCATGTAACCCAGGCTAATGGTTTTGAACTTCTAATCCTCTTGCCTCTGCCTCCCTATGGCTGGGATTACAGGAGTGCATCCCCACAACCAGTTTTTTATGTGGTACTGGGGATCAAACCCAGGGTTTCACATATGCTAGGTAAGCATTTTACTAGGGGAGCTACATCCCATCCTAAGTGTACCTCTCTCCTCCTGCCTTTCCCTGTCCAGCCTCCTCTTCTCCTTGCTTGCTGAAATCCTACAACTGTAGCCACTGTCATCCCACCTTAAAACCTGCTTATCGAGCTGATGAAAGCTGCCCACATCATATCTAGCCCCACCAATATCCTATCATACCCAGATTTGAGGACAAATCAGAGGGTGGAAGTTAGGGAGCAAGCCCAGTGGTGCTCCGGGTTCCTAATTCACTGTCTTCCTTGGTCCCACTCACAGGCTGGTCCCTCTCACAACTGTCAGGGAAGCAAGAAGATGCCAGACCAGCACATCAATATGCCGGCAAACTAGCAGCATCCTTCCCCTTCCCTTCTCCTGTCTCCTGCTCATCCATCCACCCTGAGTCATGGCCCCACTCACCTTCATGAGGTCCCGATGATGTTCCAACACACTGCATGTCGTCTGCCAGGTGTCCTGGTAGCACTCCCATGGGTCCACCCTGCAATCACAGGGAGAAAAGTTGCCCTTGGTTTCCTTTCGTACACTCTCTTCTATTGCTTCCTTCTAAGACTCAGAGCTCAGAGAGCTTAGCAGACCTGGCCATGAGGTGTGCTTAGAGCTTAAATCAAATCAAAACTGAGCCTCAGTTTCCTCTTTGGTAAAATGAGAGGGGTCAGCCAGGCGCGGTGGCACACACCTGTAGTCCCAGCACTTGGGAGGCAGAGGCAGGAGGATCTCTGTGAGTTCAAGGCCAGCCTGGTCTACATAGTGAGTTCCAGGACAGCTCGGGCTACAGGGAGACCCTGCTTCAAAAAGACAAAAAAAAAAAGAAAGAAAAAAGAAAAAAGAGAGAGGGGTCTTGCATAGGCACATGAGAGAGGATGGTGCGCATCACCCTGTGTTTAATCCTACTCAGCACTCTTCCTAAGGTGAGGGTTTGGTTAGCTGTATATGCATAGTGCCTAGCAGAGTGTCTTTTGTTTATTCTTATATGAAAAAGGCAATTCTCCTCATAACTTTACAGGGTTGTGATAAGGAATAAATGAGCCAGGCCCTCATCAAGTAGGGCCTGAGGCTTATCTTGCCAGGCTACAAGCCCCTGAGAATCAGCAGCCTGTCAGCCTTGTATGTGTAGTGTGGTGCCTTGTGGCTGGAGGTGAGGCATGGCAGTCAGAATAGAGGGCACAGATAAAATCTATTCTGCACAAGAGGCTGGGAAGTAAGCAGGGATCCTGCCCTAGACTGATGCTGCACTTGGCCTTAATTGCCAATTTAATGAGCTGCTAAATTGGGATATTTCTCAAACATTTTCTTAGCAGTTGAGCGTTCCCTGTCCACTCTCTGACATGTGTAGGCACCTCAGGTTTCCAGAGTCAAGATCTCATTAACTGAAAATGAAGGAGTTTGCCTGCCCTAGCCTGGCTCCCCTGCCCTGTCCCTGTGCACACCGATGCTGGAGGGTAGCAGACCCCTGGCCTAACAAAATAAGTGCCCTGGGTCTGGCCAGCCAATCAGCTTCCCTCCCAAGAATTCGGACTTTTTAGCCACCTCAGTTCTGATCTTCCAGGTAGGACAGGTGGAAACACTGGATGAATGAAGGAATTATCCCAGAATCTTCTAAGCACATCCAAACAGAAACAGCTTCCTGGACTCAGTGTATTCCCCCTGGACTCATTTTTCCAGACAATCAGCCCTGTCACTCAGCCCTTTGACTTCTCTGGGCCTGTTTCTCACCCAAGAAAGAACAGCCACTCTATCCAACTGGTGTCTTGAGGGGACACAGACAAAGTCCCCCAAGGTCATGTGCTTTTCACACAAATCACTGTGCAGGACTGCCTGGATCACTGCTTATTGCTGTCCCTTTCCTTTACTGCCCTCAGATCCGCCTGCCCATCCCTCACTCTGAGGTCAATGTACCAACTCCATCTTTTCTCTCCCCTCTTGGAAACCTCTGGGTGCTGCTTATTTTTCCATAGTGGGTAATTACAGTGCAAATGGTGTGCCATTATTTTTTTTAAACATCATCTTCTCATGCAAATTATAATGGTAGGAACTTCGGGGAGCATAATTAGCATAATTAGTAGAAGCTTGCTTTAATTACACTGCAGGCTCAGAGGGTGGGGGAGCACTGCCATCTTTGTGGCATGGCTGGTCTGATCTGGGGAAAGCAGTGAGCTGAAAGATAGCTTTGGGTTCCGAGTTGGGAGGGAGGCCCTAAAAGGCAATATTCAAGGCCCCACATCTTTGTCCAGGAGTCAGTGTGGGCCCTGAGGGGTCTGAGTTCAGGAGTAGGCAGTTGCCAAGGGACATTCTCTGAAAGGAAGTGAGCTCATGAGTGTTGGTGGGAATGTGAGTGGGAGTCATTTGGGATTTAGGGACCATGCCTCCCCCAGTGATGTTTTTGGCAACTCTAAGAATCACACCATGACCCAGAGGTATCAAAACAGATGAAACCTTTAAAGCTACCTCTTTAGTTTCATAAGCCTGTTTTTTTGGTTTTAAAAAAAACAACCGGTATCAGTTTGGCCACCCCTGTTGGTCTACCTAATTATGGCCTGTACCAGGCTAATATTTCTCCTGCTACTTCCCCACCTCTGCAGGTTCCAACCGATTGTCTCTTTTTCTCTCCCACCTGGTCAGAGTGAGCCCAGTGAGCCACTGGCATCATCAGCCTACCCTTACCTGATCCAGTCGGAATTCTGGACAGCCAGCTGACACATGATGAGACGGTGCCGACTCGACACAAGGCCCTGGGAAACAACAGAGCCATCAATGGAAGGTGTCTTTAATCTCCCACAGCACCCAGGAGCACCAGCCCAAGCCATCCCCTTACAAAAGTTAACCATGGTTGAGTGGTCAGAGGGAATCAGGGATCCCACCCTTGAGTCCAAGGACACCCTCATGTCCTTCTGCCACATACCCAGGCACTGCCCTGAAGGTTAGACATGTTTTAAGCTTAGACAAGTTGGTTTGGTGACTTCCCCAGAGCCCACATAGCGGTGTGTGTCAGGGAAATGGGAATGTCTGGGAGAGTTCCCACATTTTCTGGGACCTGGGCAGGAAGGAGGGTCACAATAAGGAATTTCAAATTAGATTAGAAGAGGCTTTGGACTGTTTTTTTCCCTAAAATTTCAGGAAATATTTGACCAATTTGGAGTCTAGCACTGTCACACCAAACAGGCGGGCTTGCTCCTCTCTGTGAGCAGCTGGTGTGGTGGGTAGCTGGCCCTCTGGCTATAGCCAGACACCCACTCATCTGGGTCTGATTGCGGTCCTGGGATAGAAGCCAGATGCCTGCTGTTGGGCATTTTGCATTTCCAGGAATCTCCATAGACTATAGTGGGGCAATTTTACCCAAGCAAGACATCAAGTAGGGAAAAGAGGGTGAAGGGAGAGGACAAAGGAAGAGACTCACCTGTTTTCCATAGGAGTCGTGGACCGGGGAGACAATCCCACCAATCACAATAAACCTTCCAGTCTTGTGCAGATAATCCCTGGCTCTTTCTAATTAAGAGAAGAAAACCCAGACATTATAAAGAGGAAAGGTGTGGATTAAAGGTGGTAATTGAAATCAATATGTTCAGCACTTGAACCATTAAGTTTTAGTACCTGCTATTAAAATAGAAAGTGTCAACTTTCAAAGCAAAAGTTTGGCGATTTAAAGGTTAGGGAAGCAGTTTTTAGCCTCTAAAACAAAAGGATTTAGAATTTGAGGGGATTAATCCCATTCTAAAGGTTCTCAGTTGGAAGAGCCACAGTAGCTGGAGGGGCTTAAAACAAGCACCTCATTAAGAGTCATTAGGAGCTGATTGGAATTTGTTCCTATAGTCACTTGTTGAAATTCCTGTGAGGGGCAATAGCTCAGAAGAAAAGAAAAACCTCCTTAGAATATGAAAGATGTGCTGATTGCCTCATCTAATCACCTAGAAGAAGAAAACACCAAAACAAATTTAAAGGGCCTTCTACATAATTACAGAAAATTAACAGCAAGTCACCAGCATTACAGTTGGTTGAGAAAAAAAATCTGGCCAAACAAAGGCCTGGGTAGAGTGTAATGTTCCTTCTTCAAATCATCACCCACCTTCAAGAATGAACTAGTAAAGTAGGAAGGGCTGAAGAGTCTAGTTCTGTTTTTATTTTTAGAATTGTGTGTGTGTGTGTGTGTGTGTACGTGCTCGTGGGTTTGCACCTGTGTGCGTGTGTGTGTGTGTGTGTGTGTGTGTGTGTGTAGGTCGATGGTATTTTCCTCAATCTCTCTCTCTCTCTCTCCCCTTCCCCCTTTAAAAAAAGACTTATTTTATCTTTTTAAAGTTTTGTTTTTTGGGTTTTGTTTTTGTTTGTTTGTTTTTGTTTTGTTTTGTTTGTCTTTTTTTTTTTTGGTCTTTTTTGAGACAGGGTCTCCCTGTAGTCCCAGCTGTCCTGGAACTCACTAGGTAGACCAGGCTGGCCTTGAACCCACAGAGATCCACCCGCCTCTGCCTCCCAAGTACTGGGATTAAAGGCATGAGCTACCACGCCCAACCATTTTTAAGGATTTAAAATTTTTCTATTTTATGTATATGAGTGTTTTGATTGCACGTGTTTATGTGCACTGTGTGCATGCCTGGTGTCTGCCAGAAGAGGGTGGTGAATCCCCTGGAACTGGAATTACAGCCAATTGTGAGCCATCATGTGGGAACTGGGGACCAAACGTGGGTCCTCTGCAAGAACAGTAAGTGCTCTTCTCCACTGAGCCGTTTCTCCAGCCCCAAGATTTATTTTATTTTTATTTATGTGTATATGCATCCACCTGTATGTAGGAATGTACACCTGTGCATGCAGGTACCTGAGTAGTCCAGAAGTGGGCATCAGATCCCCTGGAACTGAAGTTAGAGTCATCTGATGTGGGTGCTGGGAACCAAACTCATAAACTCTGAAAGAACAGTGCTCACTTTTAACTGCTGAGCCATCTCTCCAGCCTCCTCACCTTATTTTTTGAGACAGAATCTCACTGAACCAGGAGCTCACCAATTCTGGCTAGAGTATCTGGCTAGTGAGCTCTGCCCCTGACCCTGGCTTGACCTCCCCAGTGCTGGGGTTAAGCGAGGCAAGCAACAATGCCGGTCCTTTTAAGTGAGGGCTGAGAATTAAAGTCAGGTAGTCCTGCTTGAGGAAAACGCTTTACAGACTGAGCCACTGGCCCAGCCCTGAGACAAAGACTTTATAATGAAGGAATTTGCAAGTGAAAGAAGGCCTGGGTATCAGGGCCTCTTTGTGGATTTTGCAAATCAAGTTTTCCAGGATACTTTGGTGGGTCTCTCAACACTTAAAAATAATTTCTAGCCGGGCATGGTGGCGCAGGCCTTTAATCCCAGCACTTGCGAGGCAGAGGCAGGCGGATCTCTGTGGGTTCAAGGCCAGCCTGGTCTACATAGTGAGTTCCAGGACAGCTGAAGCTACAGGGAGACCCTGTCTCAAAAAGACTAAAAAAAAAAAAAAAGAAAAAAATTTCTAATTTACTTATTTTTATTCTTTCAATGTAAAAATCTTTTTGATTAAAAAAATGGATTATTCTTAGAACCATCTTAGATGTTCAGAGTAATTGGAGAGGTTGTACCTATTGATGAGAACAGGAGATAGAAACTGGTCAAGTCTGGTAAGGACCCCCAAGCAGCAGTTCTGAGAATGTCCTATCTGTTCCTGTTTCTTTGTAATCTCCTAAATGAGCACCGCTGCCTAGAGGCTACATGTGCCTAGGTGACTGAAAGTGTCTGGAGGCACCTGGACACCTGGTTGGGTCAGCTGGACTGAACAGCCATCCACCTCCCCATACCTCATCCCAGTTTCTGCGTAAATCCTTGCAAAAGCCCCCAGTCTTGATGGTACTGTACTTCTTAGGATCCCTCCTGCTTGTTGTCTCTCCCTTTTAAGCTCCTACCTATGAATCTGTAATAAAATTCTCTCTAAAACTCACCCTTTCTGGTCCACAAATTTCATTTCTTGAATTCTCATAACAAGAGCTGAAAGCCATTGGCGCTAGCGGTTTGGGTGGTCATCAAGTTTCCAGGACCCTAGCTCCCCAAGAAAGACCTCATCATTCTCAAAGACACCCCAGTATCACAATATCTCTGTAATTCGGTATACTCAAGCACTCCTCTTTTATCTCTTTCCCACACAGTTTTCCCATTACATTAATAATCTTGCACTTCAGTAGCATGTTTGTTCTACTTGGTGAGCCAATATTGCCATATTTTGATGAACTATTTATGCATTAAAGACTCATCTGTGCTATAGAGTTCTATGGGTTTTGATAAACACATAATGATGTGCATACACCATCAAACACCATGAAGAGTATTTCACTGCCCTGAAGTTGGCATTGTGCCACCCATTTGCCCCTCCTTATTCCAACCTCTGGATCTTTTCGTTATTCTTTCTCTCTCTTTTTTAGACAGGGTCTCACTATATAGCCCTGGCTGGCCTTGAACTCACTATGTAGACCAGGCTGGCCTTGAACTCACTGAGATTCATTTGCCTCTACCAGGACTAAAGCTATGTTCAACCACGCCCGCCTCTTTTTACCAGCTCTTGAGATTTGCCTTTTCCAGAATGCTATTGTAGTTAGAATTCTTAGCCTCTTCAGACTGGGTTCTTTCGTTCTGCAGTATGCACTTAAATTTCTTCATGTCTTCATCAGTGAGTAATAGCCCACCATCTAGCCATACCTCAGTTTGCTTACCCCCAGGAAAGACATGGTAATTGCTCCCAGTTTGGGGTCATTATAAATAAAGCTGATGTAACATTCATGCACAGGTGTGTAGATAGTCATGTTTTTAGCAGACTTGTGTAAATATCTAGGAGTGAGATTGCTAGATCATATGGTAAGAACATGTTTAGTCCCGTAAGAAGCTGCCAAGTTGTCTTCCACGTGGCAGAACCACTTTGCATTGCCACCACCAGCAGTCATGAAAATGGCTGTTTCTCCACATCCTTACCAAAAATCAGTATTGTTTGGTTTATGGATTTAGCCATTCTAATAGGTGTGCCACTTTGCTTTTTTCTTTCTTTCTTTTTCTTTCTTTCTTTCTTTTTCTTTCTTTCTTCTTTCTCTCTCCCTTTCTCTCTCTTTTTGAGACAGGGTCACACTATGTAGCCTGACTTTCTTTCTTTCTTTCTTTCTTTCTTTCTTTCTTTCTTTCTTGTTTTCTTATTTTTGGTCTTTCTGAGCCAGGGTCTCCTGTATCCCCAGCTTGCCTGGAACTTACTATGTAGACCAGGTTGGCCTTGAACTCACAGATACCCTCCTGTGTTAGATTAAAGGTGTGTGCCACCACCCCTGGCTAAGACTTTGCTTTTTAAAGGAACACTGTTACTTTTCTTGTTTCTAACTCTTGTTTTGGTTTTTAAATTTTATTTTTCCTCCCCCCCCCCCCTTTTTTTTTTTTTTTTTTTTTTTTTTTGTTATTTATCCCTGTAGCCCCAGCTGGCCTGGAACTCACTATGTAGACCAGGCTAGGCTCGAACTCACAGAGATCTATCTGCCTCTGCCTCCACGTCTAGCCTTTTAAATTTTATTTTTATATATAGGAGTATTTTGCATGCACCCATGCTGGTGGAGGCCAAAATAGGCCGTCAGATCCCCTGGAACTGAAGTTACAGCCAGTTGTCAGCCACTATGTGGGTGCTGGGAACAAAGCCTGGGTCCTCTGCAAGAGCAGCAGGGGCTCTCAACTGCTCAACTGTCTCCCCAGCTCATGTAAGTCTTATTTAGATGTTTGAATGATTCCACAGCCCATCCTCCCATTTCTTGGCCCTTTATTCCTGCCTTTCTTGGGATCACGTGCATCTGGCCCTTGACTGTCACAGACCCTCAGCTGCAATAAGCTAGCCTTCCTTACTCTCCCTTTCTTCCAAAAAGTCTTGTTTCCCTTCTCTTACACTTCATTAGAAGTCCAGTTCTACCCCATAGCCTGCATGGCTGGTCTGTCTAGCATCTCCCTTCTCTGAATTTGCTGTCTTAACACTTCACTTGGCATCCAGTCTAAGAGACTGGAAATGTATTATGGATTCCTCAAAGACATTCCTCTTGCTGTAAGAGGTCCCAACTGCACAGCAATTGCCTTGGCAATGCCTCTAAAGTTCGCTCGCCTTGAAAAGAGGCAGTTTCTGATAGGAATAACCCACCCCTAACCCTGAGCCAAAATAGTTCAGCCAGAAGAGTTATTGTGATTGTGCAGTGCAGTTCAATTCAATTTAGGAAATGTTTATGGAACATGAAACCCCATGATGAGTGTTAGAGAGATAAGAGGACTTTATACTCCAAAGCTTCAGAGAAGTGGAGAAACAGAAAGTTATGCTCATGGTTCTGATGGGCAAATTGGGATGAATGCTAAAGCAGTGGCCCTCAGTGTTGTCTACTGCAACCCAGAGAGTACAAAGCACATTTAAAACTATGACACAAAACAACATGGTTATGTTACAGGGCAATATACAGAGCTGAAACAAATCTGTTGCAAGATCCTTAC